ACTGATAATTCTCTTTTTGGTTCTTTAATTTCAATGACGTCTTGCATGTTAACGTCTCTAGATAATATATGGTCATGAATAAATTGTCGTGCTGATTGTGGGCCCTTGACAATAAGATTAAAGAAGCTTATAAGAAAAGTGTAAAAGTGTACAATCTGAGCCTACATATTCTAACTTGACATAAACGAACAAAGCACACATACTTTGTCTATATATAAGGCGCCAACAATAGCCTTAAGGGCATGTGATATTGCAGTGCCTTGTGTAATCCTTTGTGCAGGTTCTCTAGACTTACCGACAGATTTAGTTTTCTTTGAAATTTCTTTACCTTGAAGGAATAACTCTTCATCTGTAAACTATTAGAATTTCGTGTAAGATTAAAAAAAAGAACTACTATATCAACAAAGTGTGCGATAATTGATTCTTGGTCTTACATTGTTCCATCTAACTACATACTGTAAACCAACTTCTTGCCCAACAACTGTTAAAGTTAAATGACCACAGTAAGCTGTAACGGCTTGTTGTAAACACGGCAATGGCAGAAGAGGATATTTGAGGTGTAAATATTCGGTAACATATAGGCCGAGCGCATGATTTCCTATTTATTGACAATAAAGGATTAGATAAAGGAAAAAACAATGGAAAAAATAAAGGCGAGGCTCAAGTATTGTAGTTAACTGACCCAGCACCTGCAAGCCTTCGTTTGTTAATAAATCATTTTCATAGAAATTTCTATGAGTGACGGCTTGTAAAAGCAAATTTTGGGTTGTGAAATTAAGATTTAAACGCGCTGCTAGAGAATATAATGTTGATGGTATCTTTTCTTTTGTGTCCTTTGTGTCTTTTGTGTCTTCTGTGTCTTTCGTGTTTATTGTATCTTCCGTGTCAATTGTGGATAAACTTGAATTTTTCCGCGAAAAATGCGGCCAAAACGCAATAGAAATCTTTGTAATTAACAAATTATTGGTGAAAAGTGTGCATCTTCGGGTAATCAAATTCATCTTTTTTTTTTTTTTTTTTAGTATTTATCAGTTTTAAATAATGATTAGATGCGAAATCAGCCAATCGAAAAAAATTCATGTGAATTCGAACTAATATAGCTCACACGTGTATAATTCGTCCATATTTATCATTACCTTCTTTTTCTCTTCACCTCTTAATAAATACTTGCGTCGTTATGAAACATAAAAATTATAAAACTTAACTTTTATACGGCTCTTTAAAATGTCAAAAAAAGGAAAGAACGCATTGCGCCGCAGAAACGTACATTATAATAAAGAAGCTGTTGATCTAAAAAAACGAATAAGTCGCATAAACGAAGCAATTTCGAAGAAGGATTTGAATGCACTTCGACGCTTAGCTACTACCGGGCCTGGTCTCGTAAACGATGGCTTGCGTCGACTATGCTGGTTGGTGGATATTAATTCATAATAACTTTCTTTTGTAGAAAGATTTAAACTTTCGAATTTTACGTGTTTTTAGGCCATTACTTTTGCATTATAGGAATCACAGCGTTGAGACAAGCCAAGGTGCGAAATAATTTATATCAAACTCAGTGCTTTTTTAAATATGGTTGATTAGCTTGTAATTCAAACTGAAACATCGATTTATTATTCTTTTATCTTAGTAGCTCATAAAGACGAAAATCAAGTTTCGCTTGACGTTAATCGTTCTTTTGTTCACTTTCCTAAAGGTTTGGATGCCTAGTTTTTTTCTATAGAAGTAATTAAATTCTGATTAACGTCATTATCGTTCTAGGGCTGAATGATCAACAAAGAAAACAAAAACAAAGTATTCTCTATGAAGTAATAGTAGGAATTTTGCGAAGACAACCAAATTTGTCTTATTACCAGGTAATATTGCACTAAATGCTATTTTGTAACTTTTATTACTAATACATTACTAATACTATTTTTGTCGTAGGGCTTCCACGATGTGTGTACAACTCTTCTTGAGGTGTTGGGGAAAGGTGGGGCTATAAAGGCTGGAGAAAATATTGCAATGTTTCTTTTAAGATATCCTTTTTATGAACGACTATATACACGCAATTAGTAGTACATGTTAATTAAATTATTCATATATCCATGACTCCAAATGAACGGATGCGATGCATGAATCATTAGATCCTATAATGAGTCAATTAGATCTCTTGGACACATTGCTATATCTTGAAGATTCATTGATATCCGATTTTTTCAGGCGGTAAACATATAATAATTTTCGTGTAATGTGCATATCAATATGTCATATGCTAACCGTTTATATGGAAAAGGTCAAATACGATGCCTTACTTTTGTGTGAGCTGGGTTATCACATGGTGTAGCCATGACCTTCATGATTTCTCCAAAGTCACACGTCTATTTGACTTTTTTATTTCGTCAAACCCATTGATGGCCTTATATTTATCAGCTAGGGTAAGTAATAATTTTAAAAGGAACTTATGTTTTTGTGCGTTCTATGCGTTATATATATAATTCCGTTCCTGTATCAATCATTATAAGGTGATTATCAGCCGTCGTAAAGAATTGCTCTTACTGGAATGTGATAGTGCAATTATCCACGGATTTTTATCAAAATTTCCACAAGAAATTGATGTTGACGATCTGATTTTCCGAACCTCTCAACTTTATCAAAAATATCCTCCCCATGAGCTTCAGGAAATTTCTGGGTTATTTCTTGATAAAACGTAGATATTTGTTTATTTTGATGTAGTCCGTTGTGAATGATAGAACATATTTTATTAGTAATATTTTACCTTTTTTTGGTTTATTTTTAGGTCAAGCATAAATTTGTATGATAAACACTGGTTGATCTTAAAGGCTGATGAAACTGTTGATTACTCTGAAGCAAAAAAAATCCTCCTATTGCCGCCATCAGAAAGAAAACCTGTTCACATTGTCACACCGAAGAACAAAAGATATTTCCCTAATCTTAACAAAACACGTACCATCGCTCTTCTTTTTGCCGCTTCGGCATCTGTAGTGGCCGTAGTGTTGATAGCATCTCGCTGGTTTATGAGGCGAGTTAAATTACCTGTGTTTACGAAAAATTCATCAAATCGCACTGATAGTTCTGAAGACTATTCCGCCTGCTCCACGTTTTCATATACGAAACCATTTTCTTTCAGTAATGTAAATAATACTAACCATTTTTTTTTTATTTGTTTTTTTTATTTTATTTTATTGCTTCTGTGCTATTGTTTATTTCTTATAGTAATTAAGTTGATGAAAGCTTTGGGCTCTAAATTCCTGAATAGTCGCTCCTTATTCTTTCCAATATCTCATTGCCGAATGGATCAACACTATTTATTCCCTAAATCCTATTATATCGTATTATCAGTCTTTCAGTATCACACGACGAATTTCCTTAATACTATCAAGTTAGAACTCTGCGGATAAATAGACCAGCTATAAACTTTTCATATTTCTTGAATAATAATTTTAATAATAGAATATACAGTGACATATTAACAGTCAGTCAATAAATTCCGTTGACTCGGAGTTTTAGTACTTGCATTATTTCAAATAGTCTTTATTAAATACACTTCTTGATACAGAATTCTATCTCTGCAAAAATTATTCTTTATATAAATAAATAATAATTATTATTTGCATTATATGTATCCAAGTTTTTTTTAGATACCAGTAAATAGCAACATAAAATAGTTTCTTATACTAGACTGATCAAATTGATTTGATCAAAATTAACATAAAATGTATTCATGTTTGCATGACTTAGCGAATCAAGCAAAACTTCCCGTAGAGATCTTACTCGGATCGGTTGGGTCAGCTTCTTGACGGGTCATGAATATAATATAGATAAAATCTAGTGATCCAGTACTTCTGACTTGAGAATGGATGAACTCAAATTACGAGCAAGGTTGAGAAATTTTCGATGCAAAATCTGAAAACTTTCGGTTCAAGTACAGTATTTGTTATCTAATACTGTCGGCCCGGTTTTACTTATTTGTGCCGGTAATACAAACCAAAAAAGGAAACGAATTTGAAATTTATTAAATATTAGGGTTAGGGTTAGGATCAGG